TACGCATATTGTGTTATATATATACCAAAAATATTAATTCGAAAAAGTTGATAATTTTCAAAATAATAAGTTACTACTGTTTAAAAATATCACACTCCGTCCGTCTATGCCATTCAAAATGTTTCCCAGAATAACACCACAGTATAGTTAATCGTTTAATAGATCAAATACGTACTTACATGAGGAAATAACACTATCTGAGTTTAGATTCTTCTGCAATATACCTACCTACGATTTGTAATAGCAGAGGTCTAAAAGTAAAGTAACATAACCCATTCGTAATCAATCTTCTAAAACATATGCACTATTAATTTCGATTTTTACTTCTTTTTGCGCATATCGGTCGGAGAGACAACAAATTTCGTGATGGAGTATCGCGAGATAGATGTATAATATAAATTAAATGATATGTATGGTGCGACTTTAATAATAAGAAAACGACGTTTAAAAAATACGATTTTCACAACAAAGCAAAATGGTAACCTCAGAGTATCGAGAAGGAGGGGTGGTGAATCGACACCCTCCAGAGGGAAAACGTATTGTCACAATCGAGATTCCATATAATTTAATATGTTATTGTTGTGTATTAACATTTAACAGCCAAAAAAGCAGATAGGTTCATTAGCATAATATATTACCAATTATTATTATTGTTATTACTACGTAGTGTAATTTATGCACCTCGATCGGATTCGATTTCGGCTTTGAAAATAAGGTTCGAAATATAAGGTTTTTTTTAATTTATCAAATTCTTCGGTATCGTTTCGAGCTGGATCGTTGAGACTTTTTTCTTTTGATGCACACGAAAAAAATTGGTAAAAAAAAGTATCACATACCTTTCGACACAAAAATAATTTTTAAAAACCATTCGATAGTTTTCGATGGATTAGGTTTTCTTTGTTGGTGGTGGGGGAAGGACTGTGTAGATTCATTGTAGGCACGTACATCCCTTATTTGTATTGACGTGCGTAGCAAAGACAAAATATATAGTGAGTCCCGGAAGGGTGATGAGACCGCCAAGTGACACTCGATAATACAACCTATACTCGATAGGTAGTAGTAAATACATCGAATAATAATAATATTAATTATTGATAAAACAAGAGAGATTAAATTGTACTGTTATATTATGGTCGTCGGATTACAGAGTTAATCTATGATACCGTGAGCATAATATATTATTTTTCATATAATAAAACAAAAAACCATACGAACACCAAAAAAAAAGCAGTGACCCACCGGCCGCCGCATATTCATATTATGCGAATTCCCGTAGAGTGCGATAATACGTACATCTACAATATCGTAAAACGGTTGTATTATATACATATATATATATAATTATTATCTTACAATGTATATTACCTATATTATATGTTGTACACTTGTACATACAAAAATGTTTAATGTTTAGAATATTATTAATAACTATATACGTTGAAAAACATACTTTCTTCGTAAGAATTACCTATCATTATGTCTTACCATTAGTTTCCCGGACGATCACGGTCCTTTTTATATAACCGTAAAATGTAATACAAAATTATATATATTATCTATATCAGTGTTATATTGTTTTAACGGCGTTTATGGGAAATAATTTTTTACTCCTCCGATTCGACATTTCCCATAGTGTATTATTTATGGTACGCATTGATGCATAAGTCAAGTAAATAAATTATTATATTGCTCTTGATCTAATGACCAGCGAGATTTTAAAATAAACACACGAAAATAGCACTACGCCTCCAACCCCGGAAGGCTGCAGGATGTCGTACTGATACCTATAACAGTCTGAAAGATTTTTTAATTTCAATCAAAAATCGGGAGAAATTGCCTTTTTTAAAACGGTTTTCTTGGCGGTCAACCGAACATGGCCTGCGATAAGGACCGGGATATGATGATGACACCGCATGATTCCGCACTCGCCCCAAAACGTTTTCGCGAAGTTTCCCTCAAACGCTGCAAGTCTAGTGCCCATGACACATACGTTCCTTCAGTAATCCAACGACACGCGCGAGTATAAATATACATACGGTACCTATATACCTATCCCCATGTGGGATAATATATATATTAGCCATACTGACCGATCGACCGACCGATCACATTTAATTCTTTATCAGATTTCCGTTTGTTTGCCCCCCTTACTCGTACGACGATAAATTCGATTTCCTCGCGGCTGCCGTCGCGTTTTTCACGATACAGTTAAACGAGCGTGGTTCAACTCCCTCCCCTCTCCGCCAACCACACCACAAGCACGCGCACCGCACAGTGTTTCGCCAGCCAGACCGTTTATTTTTAGTTTTTTTTTCCTTCGTCCGTTTGCCGTCTCCGAAACGACCAGAAAAACTCGAAAAGTTTTGATCATAACTCAAAAAATAATACATTTCCCTAGGATATCATCGTGTTCCTTCGTTCTGCATTTCGAACGTTTTATTTCATTCCGTTTCGTTTATACGTAACGGCGACATATTATACGTTTAATACATGTATGTATATATATATATATATATAATTATATTCTTCGTCATTCAATGCAGGCGTTTTTATTTCTCTCACACACATATACATAATATATGTATAACTGTTATAAACGAATTGTTCGTATCGACCAGCGTATAATATGCGAGTTCTTTACCCGTCTTATTGTATAATAGAATAACGCACGTTAAAGTAAACTAATAATTCTATTTTTAATTGTTTCCATTTATGATTAAGGTATTTTTCGCCGATTTGACACGTCGTCAAACAATACTGTATACGATAATCGTTGCCGATCCGTTGTTTCTCGTGGAAACGTTCAGATTTATAACCAATATTACAATTATTATTATATTTAAAAACCCACTCATGTTATAATGTGGTTACTGGTTATACACTTTGCTGTTTGTTTTTTTTTATTTATTATTATTATCATCACCTGTTAGTGAAATACGTATAATAGGTAGGTATTGTGTTAATTTTTTTCCTGGCGTTTTATATACTATATAGTATTATTATATAAAATATAAAATTGTTATTATTGTTAATATGTACATATACATAGATTTAAAATATTAATACCATGACTTTGTTAAATAACTCTTGTTTCGGATTAGATTTTACGAACATTTCTAGTCAATTAATACCTACTTGAAAATGTGTTTTGAAAAAAAGGAATTCATTAAAAACTTTTTATATATAGGAATAAAATAAATAGTGTATGTATATTATACACACTATGAAAATTCCATATTTGTTAGTTTCATTGCAATAATTCACAGGTAAATCGGGAACTTGTGTACGAGAAAAAGTCGAAATAATATCATTCACAGAAAGCATGTAAGTATATTTTAGTATGCATATGTGTTCATGGTGTAAATAGAAGAAATTTTATTGATAAGTCATGATGTCTAGATTTAAAATAATTAAGCAGTTCATATTTTTGAGTATTTTACATATATGCATACATCTTTATACATCCGGGTTTTTATGAGCTTAGCAACCCTAAAGTGACTGGACAAATATAAAATGTATAACAATTTAAAATCTCAATCCCCATAAAGAAAATTTATAAAATATTCTCCATGTTTAAAAAAATCGACCTATTTTATCTAGCCATGCCAATCTCTCGCAGACAATAGTAAATAAACAATATATTATAATGAAATATTGAATTATGAATTATATTTATAAAAGAATACACACTCCACATCTCATTAATACATAATATATAATAAACTATAATATTAATATAACTTAGTGTGTAAACATAGCATAAAACAAAAATTATTTATGATTATAATATTAATATTTTATTTCATGACGATGAAACATGTTCAAAAATTATGATGCGCATTAATGTAGCTAAATTGCCTATACGTTGCGCCGGATAAGTCAAACAACAGAGTATTGCTGATTTTGAATGCAAAGTACGACTCAACGGTGGTGAGTATACAGACGTATAGTACAATCAGATTATATAAAAATGATATATTATACACATTCAATTGCATATAATCTGTGGTATAATTTTTCATACATTTGAAATCAACAATAAATCTTCGCATTCAATAAGGATCCTGAAGTACTTCAATGATCATACATTTTTTAAATGTCAAATTCTGTTTATTTTTAAACCAAAATATTTTTAGATTACGAGCACAGCGATTAATGTGTTACTTTTTTTCTTGGGTTATTTGTGTAGGCGATTTAAAGTAGAAAATAATATAATATAATAATAAAATAATATGCTTTGTTTTTCAACTTCGATATCTCTTCTGGTCTTTCTATTCTTTTGAAAGGTCAACAAAATTTACACTTTTTCTTGATAATTCAGAAAAAATCAAAAGAAAAAAAGGGAAAAACGAGAATTTATACACAAATTATTATTGTTATATTATTTGGTAAGAAAATCAAAAACGAATATCTACTCGAAATACACTGAATATACTATGATACTAGAAATTTTCACCAAATGATTATACTAGTATCTATTATACGTAGTATAATTTTCAAAATATTTAGACTCTCTTTGAGTTACTTATAAATAATACACATTTAAGATTATTTTAGTTTATTTTCTATAAAAGACAGACCCCACCTTTGCTCAAAATTGTTTTTCATGTACAATGAATCATCATTAAATTAAATTTTAACACAATCACACTACAATGACTTCTCAATGACGATAAACACTCGACACCAACTGTACAGCAGAGCGATTACCTAATTTCTCCCTTCTTTCTATCAATAATAATATATCATTTTGCAATCTCAAACAAGATTGTTTTAATCATTATTTAATAATACGACGAAGATATGAAAATAAATATTATTATTTTCCATCACCAAACTGGAACAGTCGAAGTTACAAAACAAGAGCGCGGATCGATTTAACTCGCATTATGCATAGATAATTATAATGTATACACACCCTACTAACTACAGCAATAAACCTTACAGATGAAGATTTGGATGTAAGTATTAAAGGTTTTCAAGGAAAAATACGATAAAAATAATCGTACAAAAATATTTATTATATTAACACAATTGCTGAGTTTTCAGTTTGTTGGTCGTATCTGATAAATAAATTGCAACGTAGCAAGTGTATACTTATATAATATATATGGGTAGGTAAGAGGCAGGTAATATACTTTTACAAAAGAAAATAATAACTTCTCCAAACTTACAAAAAATAATAATAATAATACATCGAAAAATCAATAACAATAGCAATATAATATAAGTCCAAAGAATATTATATACTCTCGTGCACACACGACATCACTACTTAATACATACAATAAACGGTGCATTAAAATATTATTTGATAATCGAGTTATTTAAACATGTATATCATGTATATTATATAATATACATTTACGATTTACGATTTATCTACCTATACAAAATGATGGAAACCATATGTTGCACGAATTTAATATAATAGCGAATTATATAGGAATTTATTCGGGACGCAGCGTATAACCGGAAAAATGTTTTCCAGAAGTGAATACGTTTCAGTTGTAAATTTCGAACCACCCCGCCGATGTGTATGATAATAAACGGTAACGGAGTCCAATAGCAGCGGTATACCGTGTACATATAGTTATAGTAATAATATTTTTACGGTAAGGCGTGTACCACTGTATAGGTAAAGTAATCGAATTTGAAAACGCGAAATCACGACTAGCTACCGGTGCGCATATTACAAAATAAATATAAGGTACATCGATGCATGCGCGTCGCCAGCTAGTATCGTTCGGCGTGATGGTGAACAACAAACAACCCCTTCTCTGCATACGCGCATAACATACCTACTTACAGACGCGGTTTATTTACAGTTCGATTAGATTCGAGACGGCCGTTTTGCTGGCGTCGTGTTTGTGCCTGGGTGGCGGGAGTGGATCCGTCGGTGGGTTGAAAAATAAATCGCTATCGTCTTCATCCGCCACCGATCTTTTCGTCCGGCCAATTTTCTTCCCTTCCTCTGGATACATCAACAGCGGATCCTGCAGCAGTGAAAAGTCATTTAGTTTTCGTCAGCCAACACGTGGATCAGCAACTTAAACGTCCACGCCCCCGGAAAATCATTCATAATAACATGATACATTTATATTTATATTTATTTTTGATAATTTAAATATTTTATATTTATTTAAGTCGTTTAACAAATACTAATAAAATTACTAAACTTTTTTATAATAAATATAAAAGAACTTTCTAACTGCTATTTTTTTATACCTTTGTTCAAAAACTTTTTATTTCATATACCTAATCGTACAAAAAACATTTAAAAACTATTATCCAATAAATATTTATTTAAAATCTATTATCTATAATATCTATCGAACAATTAATTAAAACGCTGAGATCAAGTTATTTTTTGCTTATTTTAATATTATATTATTTAAAAAAAAGGCAGTTTATTAATAAAAATTGCGCGTATATATCACGTATCGCACAAAATCTAACCTATAATAATCTGAACTTCCCAATACCTAGGAGTACTAACATGTTTGAGTTATACCTTCCCTTTCTTTGTAATATAAATACTCAGTCGTGTACTTAAGGGGGGAGGGGAGTAAAATAACTTTTTGTGTTAACGACTTTATATTATTATTAATCGATTATTAGTTAAGTATTTAATTGTTATTGTTGATATTGATTTTATATAATTAAATTATTTAAACACCCACTTGTGTCCTTCGAATATATCAATACCACGGCCTACCTCGGCACTTTAAGCTCAGCAGTTAAGCGACAAAATGAGTCCGCAGAGACGATCTATTTTATTATAAGTTATACGTATACATTACTATACGAGGTTTACAATAATATGTTATAATAGCTCGATCAACAACGAATGGATAGATAAACTTACCAACCGTCATACCGTGTATGTATAGTGTATACGGTATCCCATTAAAAGGATTTAAATTCGAGCGTAACATTTGTTGTTACGTTTTAACTAAATTTTATTTCGAGAATCGAACAAAAAAACGTGTTACATAATATACCAACTATATGACACTTGCCACTTGAATGCACCTGTTTAACGACCTTTATCTGAAAACGTATGCGGCGTGTTATACCTACTGCTGCAACGATATTTTTATAATAATGACATTTATCAGTGGCATTGATGCACATATATTGACGCATACACTCGTATTGAACTAAATATCGTGTAGCAATACATACTTTTGAGAATAATAGTTCCCCCGGGAGATAAATTTGTTTTGATTTTACTGCAGACGGCACACTTAAATGTAGTTGGTCGGGTGTTCGAGTAAAATGTTATATTTCCGCAATTACACAACTAGAAAAATTACCGACAGTAGATAGATAATAATAGGTACGTACTCTTCCAGTAAGCTCCACGATTTTTTTTTGTATCGACGTCATTCGGGTTCTCATATATTCGTACCTGAAAAATAAACACTTGTCAATCGTTGTGCCTAACTGTAAACCTATAAGTAAAAGTATACATCTTACAGACTGAAATACAAATGTAAAATGATGAATACAATAGTAATAATTTTGTAATTTTTTACATCGAATTTACAATTTCGTATTATTATCACAACATCGCCTATCAAAACTGCAGAAGATTGAATATCCACCCGAAAAGCAATGGTATACAACCCATACATTTTTTTTTTTTATTAGTTGAAATTAGATTATTATGTAAGCAGTAATAACGGCAATGTGTATACCCATAAATATTATCCGTTAACGTATAATATAGTATATACATACTATAATCGAAATATATCTCGAAAAACATATTTTAATAGTTAGATTTAAATTCAAAATAAGTTCACTCATTGGAAAATATTAAAAGTTGTTTTTCAAATTAGGTCAATATGTAGGTATATAACTATAGTTATCCTAAACTATATTAATTGGTTCTGTCAGAGTTTTGCCCCCATCTATATAGTTTTCTTCTCAATTTTTATTAGTTGAATTTAAAATCATGGTTTTGCAATTCAAAAACTAGGACACATCAGGTACCCATATTCATACAAACACAGAAGTTTAACTAGCATGCTTAATTGGTTTATATTTTTCTTACTTGGAAGAAAAGTAGTTTTCTACTAATGGCGAACGAATTTGAATAAAGTAAAATATATAAATAGGTATTGTTATATTGTTGATCATAAAAACACAGTTCTATACATAAAGTTGAAATTCACAATTCCTACCTAAAAATCAGTACAGAAATCTTCCAACAAAAAATTAAATGCTCTCTAGTAATATTTTCATTTTAATGTATTTAAAAATGGTGTTTCAAGTTGTTTTTTCATAGCTAAGCCATAAAAATAAGAATGAAATGGCATTTAACAAACTTTTCTATTTCCATAGCAATGTATTTGACCGTATAAAATATAAACTTAATTTAAAATGTGTTCTTTAAATATGTCAGTAGGGTAACTCACAGCAGTAAGCATTAGATTAGAACTTTGAAGTTTCAATGCTATTTTACTACATTGATATTATGAACGAGTGGAAAATTCTCAAAAGTTTTGGGAAAAACTGAGAGAAAAGTGAAATAATTGTATCCAAGTGCAGTTCATACAAAATGTATGTTTTTCATGTCATGATTTATTAAGAAAAAGTAATAAGTATAGTTGCATGTTTTTATGCATTAAAAATTATCAAGTTTTTTCAGTCATTTTTTTTATTAAAAATATTAAAAATTAAAACAAGATCCTCCTGAAGTGCAATTTTTACAAAAATGTTAAAATATATATATTCTGCAAATAAATTTTTATTGATATTTAAAGTTATAATTTTGATGAAATTGGATATTTAAACTAAAAATAAAGATCTTACCTCTAAGATTTTAGTTATTTTTATGTAATTCAAAAAATATCAAATTTAGGATTTGCAGCATTCTGCCATTACCGTATACTACTATTTTTTTATTTAAAATGAAATTCCCAAAATATTTTACTAATACAGTACATGTGTATCATTATACAGTACAACAGTAATGAGTTCTAACATAATTTATAAGTTGAATAAAATTAAATAGTATTTAAAAAATTAACAATTGTTTATCATGAAATATTTTTAGAAAATTATTACAATGACGAGCTACACTCAAAATCTTCTATATAACAAAGTTATTTTTATAATATTTACCTCATGAATAATAAATTCAATTTGAATTTCAACTTGGGTTTTGAGTCATTCCTAATATGTCCACTTATAATAATAAGATATTTTAGTAAACTATTACAGAATATAACTTGAAATAAAAGTACACAATCATAGCTTTACCAAATAAAACATATACATCTTATAAGACACTTACGTTGAGCTTTGAATACATTTGATCCACTGATGAACATGATCCTCAGACTGACTAGAAATAATATACTTTTTATCTGGTTCATCTTTAAACGAAAGAGAAAATGAAAATAATGTTCCTGGCATATTATTCTCAAGTCTTACAATAGAATTCTCCAAAACAAAGACACCAGCTGGCTAAGAACATATTGTACAAAAGATAATGAACACAATTAATAGAAATAAAATGTAATGACTAGAAGTAATTAATTAATTAATAATAAAAAGTAGATAAACTTAATACATTATTTAATCTATTACAGACATTAAACTATTTAAAATTATCAACAAATTAATCAAACAAAAAATGATTTATTCTATTTACTTGATGTAAATCAACTTGCCCAAATCCATTAATTTTGAAGTAAAATAATAAGTTGTACTTGAGTCGAAACCATCTTTCCTTGAAACCTAAAATTAATTATCAATTAATTTTAAGTACTTTTTTTTTTGATCTTAAGCTCGGCAACTATGGCCATTAGCTGTCTGAAGGGGGACACTTGTGATTTGAAACAAGTGTTTGTATGTGTGGCAAGGATGTGTTGCTAAAAACCCGGGGTCATCCATCCGAGTGCTAGCAACGACAGCCAGTACGTACGCTCAGAACGTTGCCGCAGATTGAACATACGACCTTGCCTCACCAAAACCACTGAAATACTTTATAGGTAGGTATAAGACATAAAAATAAATATTAAAATTATTAGATATTAATAGAGCAATTTGTATTTTTTTTTTTTATATTGGTCGAATTATATAAAATATGTAAACTATTAGTCTGCGATAATAATTAGACATTACTGATTATGTTAGTTTATCCAAAACACTAGATTATATTATAATTTTAGTTCCTTTTTCGTTAATTTGTATGACAATTTATATATTGAGAACCACTGTGCATAGTACATAAGTGCAAACATAACAAAATACATTTCCTATGTAACCCGGCCTTATTTATACATAAAAAAAAACTAATATATAAGTAAAGTAAAGTTTTATTTCATTAAATAGTATCATTTAAAACAATTTACTCTCTTCTACAGTTATAACTATTACAATTAATAATTTATATTGACCATAAAATGGTATCTAAACAAGATACTTATCTTAATTGGATATAAATTATAAATACTAGAATTTAAAAAATATATCTGTTCTTATAATTTGTATGCTTTACAGTCTACACATTGTGCATGTTGTTTTGTTTGAGCAATTTGATGATTATTATTAAATTTTTTACCATACATCGACAAATAAAATAGGTGAACAAATAATGAATACTAAAAATGACAAAAAAATATAGGTATAGGTACTATGGTAATTTTAAATTGTTACGCATAGATGATTATGTTTATATGATGACACTAAATGGGTTTAAAATTTAAACTTTAAATTCACTCATACTTATTTTCTTAATGATAATTTGAATTATATAATTTAACCTTTAGGTACTTATAAAAATGCTAATACCTATGGGTACAGCTATTGTATTGTCATCATAATAAGATACCTGATTAATGTAGTAATTTGATACGTAAAGATTTGAAATTATCAAAATAGTAATATGCAGTAATATACAATTAATGTATAAAGCTCATATTGACACCAAACGTATTTTGCACCTACTGATTGAATTCACTGAGGGTGTCTCTTGTAGGTAAAAACAATTTAATTTTAATTTAACAACTGATTTTATAAAAGCCTTTTAGGTAAATGAAGATGACAATTGTTTACATCAAAATGTAATGCATTTATTTATTTAATAAAATAATAAAAATATACCTTTGAATAATGAGACAATATCCGCTGATATAGGTAATACTAAAAATCAATGTAATTCCAGAGGTGAGTAAATATAAAAATGATACAGGCAGTTGAGTATACAAAAAATACACATAATCAGCACACTTGGCACTTAGTTACTCAGTAGGTGACTATGTGCTTTGCCAGGTTAATATTTTTACCTACCTTTTGAAGCGTATCCGTTGGACATTTTTGCATAGGACATCCGGCCTTCAAGAGCAGGATTTGAGTGACTAACGTGAATCATTTCTTTGTTGTTGAACCGCATGCTAGATCTGTCGTTTTCTTTTCAATACAACTTAATCTATCGCATTGAGATGACACAGAAGTTTATTTTTTAATTGAAATCCATTCAACACTTATGGTTTCCAATCTAAAGCATTACTTGAAACGGCTGAGTCACTGTGAACCATAATTTTTGATGACAAATTTTCGTATTCACTATTTACACAGTTGAATATTTTATTTATACAAATACACTAGTATTACATTAATTTACAGTTAACATACAGTTTAAACTTTTTTTTTTAATTATACACAATATTATTATGCTATACCTATGGTTGAAAAAACCAAAACGCAATTAATATGATAACTGATAATGATAAGAGAGATATTAATTTCACAAGTTTGTTCTTTGATATCACAGATTATAATACTATAATAGTATAATACCTCAGTCGCCCATTTTGCGTAATTGTTTGGATTCGAATATTCGATATTCCAACCCCACCAGGTGGATTAAATGGATTTATAATTAACATCATGTTCAATCCAAATGGCTTCTTCCTTATAAGGCCATAATATTATGCGCACGATGAGAGAGTGAAGGTGACTTTGTCCATGTCTTATTTTACTATTGAAAAATGGCAGCCTCCTCCCACACCCAACATAACTTTAAAGCCTAGACGCCTAGTTATGACTATGCTTGGTTCTTGGTTCTTGCTATAGTATATTTTGTCACGGATACTATCTTAAGTCTTGCCCCTGAGTACGAATCCGTAGGTATTATTGTGTATTATTTTGGAGAGAATAATTCCCCTCAGGTTTCCAATCCACCTCCCACCACCGATCATCTCTAAAAATATACCTATAAAGGCAATCGACAATCAGTCTACAACACTTATGAGTTATAAGTTATAACTGTTATATCATCAAAAAAAAAACATAAATTATACCGGCTGATTAATTTAATGAAGAATACTCATTACTAAAAATCAAAAAGTATTAATGATTTTGAAAATAAATGTTTGCATGGTTTCAAGTCGTAAAAAAAACGTGTTTTTTAAAAATATAATTTATAATTTTTTATGTTTTTGAGTTATTTGAATGACAACATTCAGTTTTGGCTTAGGTATCTTTGAAAGCAGAATATTTCTCTAAGTATTCTGATACGTAAAAATCGAATTTAGAACATGTAGCTTAGGAGTAATAAGTAGGGCACATAACTTGTAGAAAAATCGCCAAATATGCACTAAAATGTACAAAATACACATTTAAAAATTATTCTGCATATTAAAATGCATTCCAAATATGCATTAAAAAATAAAATTATTTGTATGAATATATTTTTTTTTAATTTTGATGTCTGTGACCGACGTCCCCGTGGCCCGTATTGATAATATATTATGCAGAGAACAATATCTGTACATAAATAAAATTAATAACCGGAAAATAAATCTCATCGGCAATCCTCGAGACGTGTCTAGGAAAAACATACATGTGAGAACAGTCAACAACCATATTAATATGATCAAAATTTTAAATAATTTTAAATTCAACATTATTTTGGTTGGATATTAAATATTCAAATTTAATAAAAACATAGGTTTTAATTAAGGTTACCTACCTATTATCATTTATTATTTACCTATTTATTTACTTGAATTTAAATTTATATACCTATGCATGTTTGTGAGAGAAATTTAGACAGTACCTTTGAAGGTTAAAGTATGCTTAATATTTTTATGTTGGATATAATAAAATAAACTAATAGGTAATGTCAATTTCCAATGCTGTGAATGTTAAAATTGACCATTTGAAATTAATCGCAATGATCTTTCGTTGTTTGTAGTGGTTGATTCTGTAAGAATCATCTTATTCATTAATATGTGATCAAATCGGTTATTAGATAATGTATATATTAAAATGTACATCAGGATCTACAAACCTATGTTTGATCAAAAATAATTTAGTACTATTAATTTGTAAAATGTATAAATAAATACATGCACAAATGAGTAAAAGAAAAAACATTTATTCCATATAGCATTTATAATATCAATATTCGATGAAGTTATATTCGTTGTCTTAAAAGCTAATAAGTAAAATATGTTTGTTCAAACCATTTAGAACAAGCATTTTATAGTGCCGACTATGACTGATAGTTATAATATTTAACATTATATTTTACCTAATAAATATTACCTAATTTATTTAAACAAAACAACTAAAAAAATCATTTTACCTAATCTAAGATATTCACAGATAATTTAACTGAGATATGAACACTTGAGCTCAAAATAATAATATGAGTATGGTTTTTCATTTATACTTTGATAAAAAAATAAAACCACTATTTGAATACAAAACAAAATAACAATTTTTCTTATCAGTATTTCATCACTTATGAATATTTTACATTTAAAATTTTAAACATACAAATAATAAATTTAACAACTCGTAAATGTTAGAAATGTATCAAACAAAATTGAAATATTAAACTAAATTTTTTCTTTCAATAACTAACAAAAATACCACCAAATCACAAAAACAATATAATCAACAAAAAAAATATTGTTTAAAAATAGTTATTAAAAATAAAATACTCGTTACTGACAATAATACAGATTTGAGATTATGTAGAAATTCATAAAAATTAACCTTAGAACTTAATACCACAAAAGTGTTATGAACTTATTATACTTTTCAAACAGTACCATGATTAAATCAAATTAATATAATATACTATGCAGTCAATAGCCATATTATGAGCTTGGTTTTTTTGTACTTCTGTCCCAATCGTCGTGCAGTGATTTCATGTCATTAAGTGCCTCCTTAATACGAACAGAAAACCTATTTGAATCCTATAAAACAGCACAATGTGATTAAAAACAAAACTAGCAGTTGAAAATTAAATTAACATACAGTGTGGGGAGAACTTTTTTTGCTCGAGATGTGGAAGAAAACTAGATTTTCTCCAGCTATTATGTAACTAACACCATATCCATCATTGGCTACAGGGCCAAATCCACCACCAGCAGAAATGCAATTAGGAAATTTCCTCAAGTCAAACTGAGTGGTTTGTCCATGTGGTGTTTGTGATGTTGACAACCTCCATGGTTCACTCAATACTTTCTATAAATGGGAAACATATTATAAACTAGTTTAAATATTGAAAGACATTTCACAATTTATTAAATTTAGATGTTTCTTGGATACATAAATACAAAAATCTGTTAGTACTCTAAACACATGAATAAAATGGTCACAGCGTATATTATGCATGTAAGACGCAAGATATAAAAATTGAATTATTTTACCAACAATTGTTCAATGATTTTAAATTTTAGTTACGTTTAAGAATGGTGATTCGACTTCCAAATACTTGGAAACTACATATAAGCAAAACAAATGTCTGTCAATTCCTTTTCCACACATTGCATCTTGATAACCTCTTTGGTGAGTTGCACATGCTTCTCTCAATAGAGAGATACGTTTATTTGTCTATACATAAATTAGAAATTTGAATAATTAAACACAGAAATTTAATTTATGTGTGTTAACAGGTAACAACTAACATCAACTTTTGGATCCAACATAGATTTCACCCAAATTGAAGACTCAAGAGTACAGGGTCTCACAGTTTCCGTTCTACCTTCCCTGTACAATCTGGTCATTGATGCCTCATATGTTAGACTAAACTTACCAGCGTCCTATAAACATAAAAATCAAATTGTTTTGTTAGACTTTTTGTGACGATTAATTAATATAGTAAAATTAAGATATCAAAAAGTAACTATAAATTACTCTGAAATATGCCAGTTGGAGTGCCATCTGAATAAAAGCATCTGGACTGACTCTAGCAGTTTTCATGAATCCCTTGCCATAATCATCGAATGCCAAAATACGCAGATCAATATCATTTACTAAGGCTAATGAGACCTAAAATAACAATAAATAATAATAAACAGTTCATTAATTAACTCCCCAAACAAAATGTGTAAAAATATTACTTGATATGATTTTTCAATAGCTTCTAACACTGGTTCCAAATTCCATTGAAGCCTTATAGGTTTTGGAGGTTCCAATTCAGGAGCACCTTTCGTGTGTCCATTTTCTTGATATCTTTATGTATGAGAAAATGAATACTATTAATTGATTTTATCAATACAATAGTCTTATTTTATTCTTTGTGGTAAATATTATAAAGTATGAAATGTGTAAAATATTTAAGCGTGATGTTTCATTATGTCAGAATGAAATGATGTACCTATGATTTTTAACCATAATCCATTATTATATATTCATATATTATCAAAAATAAAGGAACCCATCCATCATCAAATTATAAACCAATTATAACAAATGTTACACAAAACAACATATAATTAATTTTTGTTTTTTGTTCTTAGTATTGGCTTAAAACTAAATTATATAATAATTAATAAATAATGATGATTCATGATAGTCATTAACAATTAATAATTATTAATAACACAATATACTCAGATGAAAATAATTGTTAATATTAAAAGATTACAACCCCATTATTCGAATAATTGACATAATAATCATGAAATTGGATGGCTTCCTACAAAATAAGAATTGTGTGCACAAATTAGTAAATTATAATGGATTAATTTATTTATTGTATGGATTATTACCCCACAACTAGGTCGCCGCATAGAAAATGTTCCCATAAATGACCCATAACCGGTGCATCTGCCCTGTCATCAATGAAAACAATAACCAAGTAATACAATTAATCAGAAGCCGAGTTATATGTAGCTTATCCAAATCACAATATTTAGATAAATTGATGAAATTATTAATGTGATAGTTAAATTATAATGTTTTGAATTTGTAGTTATGATAAAAGATGACGTGCGTTTTTAATTTACCATGAGTAATAATGTATTATTGTTGTTTCTTCAAAGAAGTACCAAGTCCATAAAAATAATTACGCAAATATTCCCAGCAAGCAAATTATAAAATATCATACAAAAAAATTCAGGCTTTATTACAGTAAAACTGCAACCTATTAAGTTACCCAGATTTTTTTGCTTCATCAAAAATTATGAACTCCCAAAGATGAGACATAACCGCGGCATCAGCCCTGTAACAACGCTTGTTAAATGCAAATTCAAAACAATATTTGAAATTTTAATTAAACATTAGAAGTTTAATTCAAACATTTACAAAACGTGATACAAACATACACATTTCAATTACTGATTGAATAATAATACTATGAAACACTCACCACGAATGCTCAGCATTGAAACCCACCTAGAAAAGATATGGAAATTATTAATTTGTTTAAACTTATAGCATTATTATTTATTTTTTATGTA